CTACCTGAAGACTTCTTAGCAGAAAACTTTCAGGTCAGGAGAAAGTAGGATGGAATATAATATCAAAGGAAAAGAAAACCTGCCAACTAAAATAGCAAAATTCTTTAGATATAAAGGAGAGAGAAAGACATTCCCAAACAAAAATGAAGGGAGTTTATCACTACCAGATCTGTCCTACAAGATGTGCTGAAGGGAGTTCTTCAAGCCGAAATACACTAACAAGTAAAAAGAAAATATCAGGACTTAGGAAACTCACTGATTAGAACCTAGAAATAGACCCATGAATCTTTATCCAATTGATCTTTCATAAAGGTGGTAAGAACACACGTTAGAGAAAGAATTGTCTTCCATACATGGTGCTGGAGAAACTGGATATCCACATGGAGAATGTCACCTTACATAAAACCGAACTTACAGAATATTAAAGACCTAATTGTAAGACCTAATACTATGAAACTATTTGAAGAAAACATAGTAGAATTGCTTCAGGACATTGGAATAGATAAGACCACAAAAGTACAGAAAGCAAAAGAAATAAGATGAGCATATTTCTTTGCTAAAATGGAAAATGTGTCTTTGTTGTTTGAACAAAGCATGTCCGTGTCAAAGACATAGCATTTAGGGCAAGAGTCGTTTCAGTTATTTACAGTGCTATCTTGGCCCTTTTAGGCATTTGAGTTTGCGACCCTGCTAAATTTGTGCTTGATTGTGTACATCTTACATAATATGTATTTTATATTGTGAAATTTGGTTTAAATGAGGTCCTTCTTCGTTTTATTCAGGGATATTTCAGTATTGAATTAAAGGCTATTGGTGGGGGAATGAGGTACTCAAGGTTCTTGTTTCTGCTGTGAAAAAGAATTAGAAGAGAAGATGTAGATGAAGATTAGCAGAGGAATATGATTTATTAGTGAAATGACAGTACACACTAACAGGGAATACTGGCATGCTCTAGAGTGAGCTGCAACCCCTGAAGTTTGTGATCAGCATCCCTTTATGTGATGTTGATGTGTGGGAGGTGGTGCTTTGGGCAGAGTTTTCCAGGAAAGGATGGAGACTCCCAGGAATTTGGTAACAGACCATTTCCTAGCCTTTTTAGGAAGTTTCAGAAGTATCCTTGTGTCAGGTGCACGATGGGAGATGTCAGCAGTGGTGATAGATCATTGTAAAGACACAGCAGCTATATTTTATTTTTTTTGGCCAGTGTTGGGTCTTGATGGCAACTTTGCTTTTTTTAATAGTGATTTCAGGTTGTGGGCCATGGGAGTTTTTAGAGGTAGCTTTGCAGGAGGATGTTGCCTGGCTCTTTCTCTGAGCCATAAATGTCTCCTTAGCTATAATAATAGTAAGTGAAAAAAAGTCTCTTAATTCCTTATACTATTTCAGTTCCCTGAAGATGCTAAGTGCCATGAATACATCCCAAGAAGTCAGTGCAGGGACAGAAATTGTTGTAGCTTAAGGAACAAAAAAAGAGTTTCTATGCTGTAGGATATAGAAATAGCTGTTGTCTTTCAGGGCTGGGTCTGATGCTCTAATGGTCAGCTGAATGAGTATAATTGAGGTGTCCTCAAATATAAAATAGAGCTACACCCTTCGGTTCCATGGAGGGGAGCAGAGGAGTCCAAGCCAAATGAGGACCTTGAGGTTTGAAGAATATTACTGAAGTTTCAGGAGAATATGAGTAAGGAATAGACTTTCTGGCATTTTCCTGTGAGCAATGGGGAAATTTTGGTTGAGAGTAAAAGTGAATGACCTGAAAGTTATCAGATATATGTAGTAGTTTTTTCTTATCCATTGGAAGATTGCCCAGTGAATGCCTGAAACTGTAGATAATATTGGACCTTATATATACAGAGGTTCATGGAAAATTATTAGTATAAGAGAGAGAGAGGAAACTCCCATCTGCAGTGGCTGGGGCTGGGACAGGGCTAGAGCCAGAAGCTGAGAACTCAGCCCTGGTTTCCCACGTGGGTGGCTGGAACTCAATTATTTGAGACAACACTTCTGCCTCACAGGGTCTGCCTTGGCAGGAAGTTGGAGTCAGGATTCAGAGCCAGGAGTTAAACCCAGGTACTCTGATCTGGTATATAGCCACTAGGCTAAAGGGATGCCCTATCCATGAACTTTTTGAAATACCATATATTATGTTTTTTCCTCTATATAAATACCTATAATAAAACTTGGTTTGTAAATTAGGCACAATAAGAGAGTAACAACAACAATAATAAGATGGGTTAGTTATAATAACATATTGTGATAAAATTATGTGAATATGCTGTCTATTTCTTAAAATATCTTAATTCCTCATTGCGTTATAGTAATGTTTTCAAACCATGGTTGACCCTGAGTGAGTGAACTATGGAAAGCAAATCCATGGGTGAAGGGGAAGGAGCTACTGTACAGTTAAGAAAAGCCACTTCCATAGGGTCTTCCTGCTTCTAAGGGCTATCTTCCTACCAAATTGTGCCATGACCCAGTACTATGTTCTGTTTCCTAACTGGCCAAACTCTTGCCGTGATTTATAAAACTCTTTGTAATCTTGTCATTATTGTATTTTTTACTTTGTTTTCCCCACACTTGACACAGTCACATTGTGCCCTACCAGCACTAATCCGTTCGTAGTTACTTGAATTTATCATGCTCTTTCATGCTTCTGAACTTTTATATATGCTATGGTTTTTTCTTGGAACACTCACGTTCCTTTGTTTTGCTTGGTGAGCCATAATGCATTTGGTGTTTTTTTTTTTTTGTTTTTTTTTTTGGACAGGCAGAATAGATAGTGTGAGAGAGAGACAGAGAGAAAGGTCTTCCTTTGACGTTGGTTCACCCTCCAATGGCCGCCGCGGCCAGCACGCTGCAGCTGGCGCACCGCACTGATCCGATGGCAGGAGCCAGGTGCTTCTCCTGGTCTCCCATGGGGTGCAGGGCCCAAGTACTTGCGCCATCCTCCACTGCACTCCCTGGCTACAGCAGAAAGCTGGCCTGGAAGAGGGGCAACTGGGACAGAATCTGGCGCCCCGACCGGGACTAGAACCTGGTGTGTCGGCGCCGCTAGGTGGAGGATTAGCCTGTTGAGCAGTTTTAGAACCTGTCTCAGATGCTTCTTCTGGGAATTCATTCTTGACACTGCATTCCCTGACTTAATGATGGTAATGAAGCAGTATCTGCAGCAAATTCTTACAGGTAATGTGCTGGGCACCATGTTAAGTCTGTGTGTGAACTCACCACAACTCCATGAGGTAGATACTCTTGCTCTCATTTCACAGGGGTGGTCAAGTATATCTCCCAAGAAAGTAGTAAAGCAGAATTTGAGTCAAGGTAATCTGGCTCAGATCTTCTTTTTAACTAATATGTTATGCTATTAAGCATCATTGTTTTTGAGTTTTCCTTATCTTTATGTTTTACATTATTTCTGATTTTCCTTTTTTAAAAATTTGAGACACAAAGAGAGCTCCTTTTGCTGGTTTACTCCTCAAATGCCTGCAATGGCTGGGACTGGGGTGGGCCAAAGCTGGCAGCCGGGAAATCAATCAGGATCTTCCACCTGGGTGGTGGGAACCTGTTTACTGGGACTATCAACATTGCCTTGCAAGGTCTGCATTAGCAGGAAGTAAGAGGACAGGGTGGGAGTCAGGAATTGAATCCAGGCACACTGATATGAGTCATGGGCATCTTAACCACTAGGCAAAATGCCCACTCTGATTTTACTTTATTCATGCATACTTTTGTTAAAGTTTTTCCCACTGAGAATAGAACTTACCTAATATCCTTTTGCTCACCATTCTACATCTCTAAAATAAAGATGACAGTAGGGAATAGCAGGGATTTGAATGGAAGGAAGGATGTATGCCCTGCCTAAAAGCATCTTCATTGAAATAAAAGAGCACAAACGGTATGTTGCTCAGGTAACACTCTTCTATGAAAGTGTTTCAATTAGTATTACATAACTTTTGCTACAACACATCAGACATGCTTAAAAGCTTGTCCCTAGTTCAGTTTATTTCCTAGCCTGAGATAAGTAGAAGAGATAGGATATCCTTAGAGATAATATATTAATTTTTCATTAGAATACATTAATATTTTAAACCATCAGTATTTTTGAGAACCCCTGAAGGGCAAAGATAGAGATGCTGGATCAAAACACAGAAAGGTTAGGGCTGAACTTGTCCTGTTTAGCTTGTATTTTTCTCTCATATTCTTTCTCTAGTATCTGCCGACAGTTGGTTCTGAGGCACTTACATATTCCATGGTATGTATGCTGCTTGGTGTGCCTGAACAATAGAGTAAGTTCTAGTTGAGAATGGCAAGAAGCTTGTGTTACAGTGGAGTTTTTCCTTTGTTAATTCTCCTTTGTTTCTCAGTAAGAGATAAAGAAATGAGAAAAGAAGGATGTAGTACTTGTCATAGCTTGAGCTGCCATCTCAAAATGCTGTAAACTAGATGGCTTACACAACAGAAATTCACTTTCTCATAGTTCTATAAGCTGAAAGGTTGAAGGTCAAGGAGTCAGTTGATTCATTTCCTGGTTAGGGCTCATCTTCCTATGTCATCACATGGTGGAGGCAGGGACACAGAGAGAGAATGTGGTCTCTGGTATCATAACCTTGTCTAAATCTGATTACCTTCTAAGACTATCACATTAGCAGTTGACATTTACTGTATGAATTTGAGAAGGGACACAATTCAGTCTGTAGCAATGTTGTAATAATTTTATGGCGATTTACTTATGTCTTGGGATTTTTGCCGTTGTTGATAATACTTTGGAGTCTCTTCCCGGAAGAGAATGTTTTTGCATTAAATTTTGTGTCTGACTATGTTTACCAGGTTTTAAAAAATAAAACTCCAGATGTTACAGGAACAATTTCCAGATACCATGACCTCTTCTCACATATTATGTTACTTTGGCTTCAGTGAGGATTTTCTTGCACACCACTCTTGCAGGATTCCATTCATGGTCTTATTGTTACATCAATTTCAGTATGAACTTTACTTTTTTACAGGTGGAGGCCACGTGGCTTTGCAAGACCAGAGTTAATGAAGATTTTACATAGTTCACTGGATGATTCCTTTAAACGCCTTATTTATCCTCTTCTCTGTAGAGAGTTCAGGTATACATATTTTCTTGTTTAACTTCTAATACTGTTTATTTTGCATGATACTGGTCCTATTAAAGCACATACTACATCCTGTTAAAGCATGATTGATTAAACACTCCAGAGAACTCAATCAGAATCATAGTCTTAAATTTAACTCTTGATTTCTATCTGTAGAGGTATTTGAGTATATCATAAAATGATTCTTAATTGTGATAGACTGTCTAAACCTTGACCACTTAATGTCTGTGTCTTCCAATTCTAAGTACTAGTTTTGCAATTTGACAATAAAACCAAACAAATGGTTTTATTAATTATAGATTTGGCTTGGAAGAAACAAACAGAATTTAATGGAGAAATTAGTTGGAGGCAGTTCTTGGAGGTAAGAGAGCCAAAGAAAGGAAGTCGTTGTAGAATATAAAGAATTTATTGCTATGGGGGCCGACACTGTGGCTCAGACTAAGCCTCTGCCTGTGGTGCCAGAATCCCATATGGGCACTGGTTCATGTCCCAGCTACTGCTTCTCCAATCTACCCCAGCTGCAGCTGTGTGGCCATTTGGGGAGTGAACCAGCAGATGGAAGGCCTTTCTCTCTGTAACTGCCTCTTAAATAAATAAATAAATCTTTTTTTTTAAGATTTATTTTATTTATTTGAAAGACAGAGTTACAGAGATTGGTAGAGACACAGAGAGAGGTCTTCCATCCGCTGGCTCACTCCCCAGATGACCACAACAGCCGGAGCTGTGTCAATCCGAAGCCAGGAGCCAGGAGCTCCTTCTGGGTCTCCCACGTGAGTGCAAGGGCCCAAGGGCTTGGGCCATCCTCTGCTGCTTTCCTAGGCAATAGTAGAGAGCTGGATTGGAAGTGGAGCAGCTGGGACTAGAATCGGCACCCATATGGGATGCCAGTGCTTCAGGCAAGGGCTTTAACCTGCTGCGCCACAGCACTGGCCCCAATAAATAAATCTTTAACAAAAAAGAATTTATTGCTGTGAAGAGGAAAAGCTAATATATGTGTTTTAAACTCCAAATGGGAGTTGTTTGGGTAAAGAATTATTAGCAATGATGAGCAAATATTAGGAGATAATTAAAATAACCATGTTAATGGGGCTGGTGTTATGGCGTAACAAGTTGAACTACCATCTGTGATGCTGGTATCCCATATGGGTGCTGGTTTGAGTCCTGACTGCTTTACTTCTGATCCAGCCTTCTGCTAATATGCCTGGGAAAGCAGCAGAAGATGGCCAAAGTTCAGAGGGCCCTGAGCCTCTGTACCCACGTGGGAGACCTGGATGAAGCCCCAGGCTCCTGGCTTTGCCCTGTCCCAGACTTGGCCTTAGTGGCCATTTGGGGAATGAACCAGTGGATGATAGATCCCTTTCTCCCTCTCTCTGTAATCTGCCTTTGAAATAAATAAATAAATCCTAACAAAACCATGAACCATGTAAGTGAACTAGTAGAAGGTCAAAGAGTGATAAAGTTGAAAAGTTTTAGCAAGGTCACCTAGGGAATGTACATTTCTATTCATCTCTTCAACCTCACTAGAATTCCTAAAAACCTATGTGATATTTTCTCTTTTGCTGGACTTAACCATTGAGTTCAGAGGTGTTCTAAGTAGGAAGTGAGCTAGTAGTATTAAAAAGACACACACTGTGGTGGGAGTTTGGCCTGGTGATTAAGGCACTGGTTGGGACACCCACATCTCAACATTGGAGTGCCTAGGTTCAAGTCCTTGCTCTGCTTTTGATTCTAGCTTCCTGTTGATACACACCCTAGGAGGCAGCAGGCTCAACTAGTTGGGTTCCTACCATTCACATGGTAGATTGAGTTCTCTGCTCCTAGTATTGGCCCACAGCCTGGGGTTGTTGTGGGCAGTTGCACAAGTGAACCAACCAGTGGGAGTTCTCTCTATCTACCTCTTGGGGAAAAAAAAAATAAAAAGATAACCCCACTGTCCAGTATCTTATTATCAAAGTCATTTAGTCTGGTTTTCATAGTTTTTAGCCTAGATGTCCCTCCAAAATATTTTTCCTTCTGTAATTCTATTTCATTTCATGTCAGTGTAAAATATCATCTCTTGTTTTTAAGTGGTAATGCATAAACTTTGAAAATAGGAATTCTGTTCTTGAAGAAGGAAAAAACATTATTTGAAATGTCAATTTCTTTTTGCAGTGTTTTTCTTTGTTTTCTCATGTTGCCTGGAATGTCCTGTGTTGCTTCTGACATTTCTGCATATAAGTTCATTAAGATGCAATGTATGCAGTTTGGTATGGGAGTATTTAATTTATACTCCTTTTCTGATTTCCATTAACAGTGGGCATGCAGGAATTCTTTCATTTTTAAAAAACGCCTGTGGTTAAAAATAAAATACCTTATTTCAGTTTGTAAGTTAGTTTGCAGACATTGTCTACAGATGTGTCTCTTGACAGACTGACTTACCTAAACAGCAGTTGAGAGGCAGAAATGCTTTGTAGGTTTTTTTAAGAAAAATATTTCCCTAATTCAAAAGAAATTTGTCTAATTGTAGAGAAATTTAACGAATCAGTAAGGCATGAGGGGGAAAAATCACATAATTTAAGTATTTAAGCATAATCCTTATTAACCCACACTTTTCTGCATTTATGTATGTGCACTAAAAGAAATCATACAGACTATATTATTTTATAGTCATTTTATTCAGTTAACTATATATTATGCAAAACCTACTTCTGCATTTCTTGTTTCTGTTTCTGCCATGATCATTCATCCATGTGTCATTTTTCATACCCATTTCTCCTCAATCCTGCCTTGTCAGTTACCAAGTCTTACCTATTTTACTGTATTTTATCATGTGTTGAGTTTTTCTTTTTATTGCTGTAATCTTAGTTCAGAACGTAATTTTTTAAATTTTGATTTTTTTAAAGTTTTACTTACTTATTTGAAAGAGTTACAGAGAGATCTTTGATCTGCTGGTTTACTCCCTAGATGGCCACAGTATAGCCAGGAGCCAAGAGCTTTATCCAGATCTACATGGGTGGCAGGGGTCCTAGTACTCCATCTTCTGCTGTTTTTCCCAGGCCATTAGCAGGGAGCTGCACGGGAAGTAGAGCAGCCAGGACAGGAACTGGCATCCATATGTGGTGATGGCATCTCAGGCTATGCCTTTACCTGCTATTACTGTTAAAACAGCAATGACAAAAGGTGACCTTGGTTCTTGTTTCACATGAAAGAATTTCCCTGTGGACAAGGCAGAGAGCAAAGCAAGATTTCTTTAAGTCATAAACCTCCTCCGCAGCAGCCAGGAGGAGAGCTCCAACCATGAGAGACAGACCTGAGAAACTGAAGGTTGAGTCTATTGAGCACAATTTTGTGGGGGGGAACAGAACAGCAGCTAACAATCAGTCAGAGGGTGGGGACCCAACCCGTGAGAAGGCTGGAATGGTGATCCTGTCTGGCTTGCTCAGGATAATACAAAAAAGCCATCAGAAGGATGTGATTGATAACTTTATTATTATTATTTATTTATTTTGCCTAGAAACCTTTTATTTAAAGTATATAAACTTCATGCATTTCAAATAGACAAATTTAGGAACATAGTGATTCTTCCCACTCTACCCTCTCTCCTTCCCATACTCCCACCCTTCCTCCTCCTCTCTCTCCTATTCCCATTCTTATTTTTAACAAAGATCTGTTTTACTTTTTTATTGTTGTTGTTGTGAGGATTAATGGATTTATTTTTATTTTATTTATTTTTTAGCTGCAAGAGTTCATTTTTATTTCTTTTTATTTTCCTACAGAAACTTTTTATTTAAGAAATACAAACTTCATGCTTTTCATAAATACAACTTTAGGAATATAGTGATTCTTCCCACTCACTCTTCCATCCTTCTTCCACCTCCTTTTCCTATTCCCATTCTTATTTTTTACTAAGATCTATTTTCAATTAACTTTATACACATGCAATTAACCCTACACTAAAAAAAGTGTTCAACAAATAGTATGGAAAACAAAAAACTGTTCCTCAACAGTCAAGACAAGGGCTGTTCAGAATTATGATGTCTCAAAGTGTCAATTTCACTTCTATAGATTACCCGTTATATATTCTGTTATCACAGATCAGGGAGAACATACGGTATTTATCTTAATGGGAATGGCTTATTTCACTATGGGAATGGCTTATTTCATGCAACCGGAAAACATACTTAGTGAAATAAGCCATTCCCATTAAGATAAAGTATGCTTTCCAGTTGCATCCATTTTGTTTCAAATGACAGAATTTCATTTTGTTAACTGCTGTGTAGTATTCCATGGTGTACATATACCATGATTTCTTTTTCTAGTCTTCAATTGACAGACATCTTGGTTGATTCCATATCTTAGCTATTGTGAATTGAGCTGCACATCATTATTTAAAAAAAAAAAAGATGTATTTATTTATTTGAAAGGCAGAGTTACAGAGGCAGAAGGTGGGGAGAGGGAGAAGGAGAGAGAGAGAGAGAGAGAGGGAGGGAGAGAGGTCTTCCATCAGCTGGTTTACTCCGCAAACAGCTGCAATAGCTTTAGCCGGGCCAATCCGAAGCCAGGAGCCTGGAGCTTCCTCTGGTTCTCCTACGTGGATGCAATGGTCCAAGTACCTGGGCCATCTTTTGCTTTCCCAGGCCGTAGCAGAGAGCTGGATCAGAAGTGAAGCAGCTGGGACTAGAACCGTTGCCCATATGGGATGCTGGCACTGCAGGCGGTGTCTTTACTCGCTGCGCCACAGTGCTGGAGACCAGGAGAAGCACCTGGCTCCTGACTTCAGATCAGCACGATGCACCGGCTGCAGCGCGCAGGCCGCGGCGGCCATTGGAGGGTGAACCAACAGCAAAAAAGGAAGACCTTTCTCTCTGTCTCTCTCTCTCACTGTCCACTCTGCCTGTCAAAAAAAAAAAAAAAAAAAAAAAAAAAGAAGAAGAAGACTATGCATGACCATTTTTCATTTTTTTTCTTGCTTCTGCAGCTTTTATGTCTGGCTACAAAGGAATTTCAAAAGGAATTAAAAGATTAGGTTATTGTAGTGCAAACACTTTGGAAATGCATGCATTGATATTGCTTATCAGCCATATTCCATGAACTTTTTGAGAATCCCTGTCTTACTTTAGCATGTGAAGTTACTTGCTTCCACTGTCTGGGGTATCTTATTCCTGCCCCTCATGTATTGTCCCTAGTTCCTTCCTTTGCTTAACTCTATTCCTTTTCATTCTTGAATTACCTGAGAAGACATCTCTTCCAGAAAGTTTTTCTGGTTTGTCTATCCCTCTGTGGGTTCTCATTAACATAGCACTTACCATTGTTTGAGACTTGGGTGTTTATTTTTCTGTTTTTTCACCAGGTAACGGTCTAAAGGGGAGAGGTCTTGTCTTTTCAGTTGTGTATCTTACACGTACTATGGCATCTTATGTAAGAGTGACAATAAATTTAAAAGTGAATATTTAAAAATAGCTACCATGATACTTTATTTCTTACTTGAATGCAGGTAGAACCACAAAAACCTTAAGAAACTGAATTAAGCCAGCAAATCTTAGTTGGCTAAATGCATCTTTACATAGGAAAGCAATTCTCCCTCAGTAATTATATGAAATGGGCTTTGAATTTCATTTCTACTGTCAATTTTCTTATAACCAGCGGTGTGCATTTTTTTTACCTAGTCTAATTGAGAAGACAAAAGTTTTATTGTGAGTTTTGGGAGATAATACATTGAGAACTTTTAAGGAGATGAGTGGTTTAATGCCTTCAAACCCATTATAGAACATATTTTTATCCTAGGAAGTCTTAAAAGTAGACTTTTAGTAAGTTTTTTTAATTAAATTGGGAAGTTCTTTAAGGCATGGTTTGGGATCATCTGTTAGTATCTGTGGTCATGTCACCTTACTGTGTGAATGACAAAGGAGTAGATGTGGAGAGTGGATTAGGGTGAGAAGGTGTAATTGCAGGTGAAGGTGAGACAGGCTGGAAGGAGTCACAAAATTGAGCACTCTTGACCTGATATGTATTCCTCTCCCACCCTAACATATGTCTGTCTCTGACAGAGCACAGCCTGCTCCACTTAGCTCCAAACCAATCAGGAGCAAGGAGTGTACACACTCTGACGACAAAAGACCCCACCTACTGCCTGTGCACTTGTGCCAAGCAGCCTAATGCAACTGAATTGTGACCTTCTTGTGGTGGCAGTAGTGAGCCACACTGTGATTTTGAGTGTGTCTTAATGTAAAACAACAACAGAACACACAGGTACTCTGTGCTGAAGAGGGCAAGCCAGAACACTGAGCTGGGAGCAGACTAAAGTGCTGTATCCCAAGGGTGTGCTGCTAAAAACCGCTGTCCACCTCCTCTCATTGAGCCAGTTAGTGGATCCTCATCCACCATGGTGTTTCTCTTGTGTTTGAGCATCAGCCCCCAGTAAACCTTGTTGTGTTTCACTCTTCAGTCTCCATTGCAAGGGAGTCAAAGAATCTAGAGCTTATATCAAAGATGTGAGGTGTGAAACTTGATGTTATTGGAGGAGGCTTGTGATTAGAAAATTTGCCATTTAATCTGTTTGTATTTTTTTTTTTTTTTGACAGGCAGAGTTAGACAGTGAGAGAGAGAGAGAGAGAGACAGAGAGAAAGGTCTTCCTTCCTTCCATTGGTTCACCCCCCAAATGGCCGCCAAGGCCAGCGTGCTGTGCCAATCCGAAGCCAGGAGCCAGGTGCTTCCTCCTGGTCTCCCATGCGGGTGCAGGGCCCAAGCACTTGGGCCATCCTGCACTGCACTCCCGGGCCACAGCAGAGAGCTGGCCTGGAAGAGGAACAACCGGGACAGAATCCAGCGCCCCGACCAGAACTAGAACCCGGTGTGCTGGTGTCACAGGAGGAGGATTAGCCTAGTGAGCCGCGGTGCCGTCCTGTTTGTATTTTTTAATCAGTTGATACACTTCAATTTGACATCCAAATCTGTATATTCTCTGTCATACACACATGTGTACACACACACGCTCATACACTCACTCACTCTTATACCTATAGATTTTGTGTATGATGGAGACCATATAGAGAAGAAGTGTAGAAATGACAAGCTCATAAGGTTTACTTCAGAATTGTTTGTGGTGCCATGTGTTACAGGGATTAACAAAAAATAGACAATATAATTTTATTATATGTTGCTTTTCTACTATGTCATTTTGTTATAATAAATGTTCCTGCAAGGACCGACTATACAAAATAAATTCTCTTTTTCTGGAAAGAAAACTTGGATAAATGAAAAAACTCAGTAATTCTTTTCTTTTTATATTTTTGAAGAGCCAAACTGACTTCCGATGCAGAGAAGGAATCAGTAATGATGTTTGGACGGAACCTTCGTCAGCTTCTTTTAACAAGCCCTGTTCCAGGACGTACTTTGATGGGAGTGGATCCTGGGTACAAACATGGCTGCAAATTAGCTATAATTTCTCCTACCAGTAAGTCGTCTTTCACCTTCCGTCCTACACAAGTCCTGATGCATGTAGCTAGCTGTTTTCGCATTGTTCCCCTGCTCCTTTCTCCTTTGGCTTCTGTGAGGATATCTTGTTTCCTGTTTATGTGCTATGGATACACAATGGGATTTTGGTTTTGATGTCTTTTAATGGTACTCATTTTTACAGTGAGTGGGCAGTATATTTATTATTTCTTTTCTTGCATATATTGAGAGGTCATATAGATTTATCCTTTACTGTGTTACTGTCATGAATTATATTATTAGATTTTTGAAAAAAACATTTAGTCATACTTACTTTCCTTAGATAAACCAACTGGGTCATGATAACTCTCTTCTGGATAAGTTGCTACATTAGTTTTCAGTCGTTAGACTGGGAAGAAGCACCTGGCTCCTGGCTTCGGATCAGCTCAGTGCCGGCCGTGGCAGCCATTTGGGGAGTGAACCAACAGAAGGAAGACCTGTCTCCCTGTCTCTCTCTCACTGTCTATAACTTTATCTGTCAAATAAATAGGAAAAAAAAACTTTTTAAAATTTTATGCACACACACATGTTTCTGCCATCTGTTTTGGTAAGATTTTTCTAGTATTTAACCATTTCATCATTTAATCTAGATTGATATGAAGGTATTTATTATAGTCTCTATCTCTTTTTTTTTTTTTTTTTTTTTTCCACAGGCAGAGTGGACAGTGAGAGAGAGAGACAGAGAGAAAGGTCTTCCTTTGCCGTTGGTTCACCCTCCAATGGCCGCCGCTGCAGCCGGTGCACTGCGCTGATCCGATGGCAGGAGCCAGGATCCAGGTGCTTTTCCTGGTCTTCCATGGGGTGCAGGGCCCAAGCACCTGGGCCATCCTCCACTGCACTCCCTGGCCATAGCAGAGAGCTGGCCTGGAAGAGGGGCAACCGGGACAGAATCCGGCGCCCCGACCGGGACTAGAACCCGGTGTGCCGGCGCCGCAAGGTGGAGGATTAGCCTATTGAGCCACGGCGCCGGCCTTATAGTCTCTATCTCTTTTAATCTATGGTCGATCTCTAGTTTATCTCCTTTTCTTTTCTTTTTTTCTTTTTTTTCTTTTTTTTTTTTTTTTTTTGACAGGCAGAGTTAGACAGTGAGAGAGAGAGAGAGAGAGACAGAGAAAGGTCTTCCTTTTCCATTGGTTCACCCCCCCAAGTGGCCACTATGGCTGGCGCGTTGCGGCCGGCGCACTGTGCCAATCCAAAGCCAGGAGCCAGGTGCTTCCTCCTGGTCTCCCATGCAGGTGCAGGGCCCAAGGACCTGGGCCATCCTCCACTGCCTTCTTGGGCCACAGCAGAGAGCTGGACTGGAAGAGGGGCAACCGGGACAGAATCTGGCACCCCGACCGGGACTAGAACCCGGAGTGCTGGCACCGCAGGCGGAGTATTAGCCTAGTGAGCCAAGGCGCCGGCCTCCTTTTCATTTCTAATATGATTTGTGTCTTCTGTCTTTTCTTTTTAAGTTTTTTTAAGTTTATTTGAATGGTAGAGAGAGAGAGAGAGATTGACAGAGCTCTTCCATTTGCTGACTTACTCCCCATATACCCACAACAGCCAGAACTGGGCCAGGCTGAAGCCAGGAGCCTGGAACTCAATTCGGGTCTCTCACATGGGTGGCAGGGAGCAAGAGCCTGCTTCCTCCCAGGGTGCACATTATCAGGAGGCTAGAATCAAATGTAGAGATGGGACCTGAACCCAGGATCTCTATTACTGGATGCACATGTCCCAAACAATGTCTAAACCACTGTTCCAAACTCCTGCTCTTTTTTTTTTCTTATAAGTAATTTTTAACTTTAAACTTTGTTGATCCTTCCTGTTATATATTTTTTTCTTTTTTAAGATTTATTTATTTTATTTGAAAGTGTTACACAGAGGGAGAAGGAGAGGCAGAGGCAGAGAGAGAGAGAGAGTCAGGAGTCAGGAGCTTCTTCTGGGTCTCGCACACCGGTGCAGGGGTCCAAGAACTTGAGCCATCTTCTACTGCTTTCTCAGGCCATAACAGAGAGCTGGATCGAAGTGGAGCAGCTGGAACTTGAACTGGCATCCACATGGGATGCCAGCGCTGCAGGTGGCAGTTTTACTCGCTGCACCACAGCGCCGGCCCTTATATACACTTTCTATTTCATTAATTTTTTCTTATTAACTTCATCATTTTCTTTGTTTTTTCATTATTCTGTTGCTCTTTTCCTAACTTCCTAAGACAGTTCCTTGATTCATTATTTCTTTTTTTAGATGGTTACCCTCAAATAAAAAAAATTATTAAAATGATTTTAGGTACCAGTGCTGTGGTGTAGTGAGTTAAGCTGCTGCCTAGTGCGCCAGCAATCCATCCAGCTATTCCATTTCCAATACAGCTCCCTGCTAATGAGTCTGGGAAAGCAGCAGAAGATGACCCAAGTGCGTGGGTCCCTGCCAACCATGTGAGATACCTGGAAGAAGCTCCTGGCTTTGGCCTGTCCCAGCTCCAGCTGTTGTGGCCACTTAGGGAGTGAACCAGCAAATGGAAGATCTCTCTGTCTCTCCTTCTCTCTCTTTCTCTCTCTATAACTCTTCCTTTCAAATAAATAAATAAATCTTTAAAAATAAAATGATTTTAAATAAAATAAAAATACTTAAAAATAAATATTTTGTATAATGCAATATAGAAAACCTCCTAAGTCTCAATTAAGCAGCTCAAAGAATTACATAGGAGAAACACATTTTATATCTACAATTGAAAAAGAGAATAGATGATCACATTATCTGATATATAGTAAATGTTCAGTTTATGTTATTGAAAACCATTTCTCTTTTAGGTATTATAATATGCAGTTAATAGTGGCAAAATCAAATCTCTGGGACTTTGGAAGTAACAGTATTTTAGAAATATTTTGAAATACCAAATCATTGGTGTGTTATATTTTATAATTTCTTACAAAATGACTTATTTTCATTTTTTTCTTTTTAAGGTCAGATACTTCATACTGATGTGGTTTACTTGCATTGTGGACAAGGCTTCCGAGAGGCAGAGAAAATAAAGAGGCTTTTGCTGAATTTCAAGTATGAAAATAAGTAATCTTGAGTACTACAGTGGCTCAGTCAATCAGAGATACCTTTGATGGCCCTAATTTGGAGGGAGGGATTAAGGGAAGTAAGAGAGAAGGAACCATGTACAATAATTCTGGGGCAAATTGCTGGAGAACTCTACATGTAGAGACTCCAGAGAATGCTTGTCACCTTCTGCCACCTTCCCAAATACAGCTGGGCACGTGGGCATATGTGAGCATGGAATTTTTCTGCTTGGATTTCCTTCCCATCTTTCTTCCTGCTTGCCTGTCTTCCATTCTGTCTTCTAGCTTCCCTGCTTCCCTGCCTTCCTGCCTGGTTTTCTCTGCCTTTCTTCTTCTCTCCTTCTATCCCTCCCTCCTTCCTTCTGAGATCTATAGAATGGCTGTGGTAGTAGTTAGATGCTTCAGAAATTGATAGCATATCATATAATTCAGTTGTAATGCCTTGATTGTAACCTAGAATGCTACAGAGTTTACTTACTCATGTCTAATTTTGTTTCCTTCTAAATAGGAAGAAAGTTGATGTTATGGGTTGTGTGATGTTAAATGTTTCTCCACTGCCTCTTAAACCAAGTGCAGGGGCAATGTCTTACTCTCTATAAGTTGATGTTTCTCTTAGGAAAGTATGGAGAGGTTGCTTGAATATATAAGAGAATAAGAGCATCGTTTAATAGTATTTGTGCATTCTGGACATTTTCACCGGTTGATTTCAAAGCATACCTTGAACTCATTCAGCTTCTCATTCTGTTTTGAAGCTGCAGCACAGTGGTGATTGGAAATGGAACTGCCTGCCGGGAAACAGAAGCTTACTTTGCTGACCTGATAATGAAAAATTACTTTGCACCACTGGATGTTGTTTACTGGTAAGGATGTTAGGAATGTTTGTTTCCTTGGAGAGGAATGGGAACTTCTAAAATTCCTTTTATGATGAATTCACTCTGCTCTTTGTAAGATATATATCTTGTTTGTCTTCCAAACTACCTCTTGCTGTTTGTAAGAGCTTTGCAGGAAATAGTGTCTGTCTCTTGGAGAAATTTGAGACAGGAATGATTAGAGCCAGACAGTGTCCCAGAACCTTTTACTGAAGCAGTGTGTTAAGGCTTACTCAATTTCATGGACTTTTTCAGGTTGTTCATTGTATGAGGACTCTCATTAACTCATAAGTAGGATGGTATAGGCTAGCACCTATAGACTCCAGATAGCTTAGCCTTCTTCTCCCAAAGTAAGCCTATTAATCATTTCCCTTCAGTCAAGGTAAGTATTAAGAATTTAAAAATATTTCTGATCTTGCTTTCTAACTTGTCTGTTGGTCAGAGGTTTAATTTCATGTAAGCATGCGTCTGAAGAACTTTGGACTAGCACAACTCGGTTTCCTAGTCCTACCTCTGCATCTGTAGTAGTTATGCTCTCCTTCTCCATCGTTTCTCCACTTTCCCATTGGATCTAAAATAGCTTTGTTTACCTCTTTGGAACTACAGTAAATATTAAGTTCGACAGGGCTTAATTCTGGGACAAGGGGTAGTTACAATGACTGATAGTTAGGGAAAAGTACTCAAGAGCTATCTCCAGTTAGTGAGAAATCTAATAACTAAGAATAGTCAGCTGATGAATAGCAAACTAAAACAAAAAGCAAAACTTTGTACTGGAAGAGTTCTAGGATTCTTTTTTTTTTTTTTTTTTTTTTAAGACTTATTTATTAATGTGAAAGACAGAATTCCAGAGAGAGAGAGAGACAGAGACGGAGAAATCTTCCATCCTCTGGTCCACTGCCCAAATGTCCTCAATGGATCGGGGCTGGGCTGTCTGAAGTCAGCCAGGAGTGTCTTCCTGGTCCCTTGTGTGGGTGCAGGGGCCCAGAGACTTGGGCCATCTTCTGCTGCTTTCCCAGGAGTACCAGGAGGGAGCTGGATTGGAAGTGAAACAGTTGGAACTGAAACTAGTACACATTTAGGATGCTGACATTGTAGGTGGCGACTTTCTCCACTATACCACAGTGCTGGCCCCTCTAGGATTCCTTTAGGTAGCCCAAAAGATAGTGGCCAGGTGTTTAGCGTAGTATTCTATGTGCTACAAACAGTCAAAATGAGTGAAAACAAACTCAGGGTAACCAAAGGGGATTGGGAAATCAGGGACAAAATATAGGTGTCTAAGAATCACAATTCAATCAAGTACCAGTTTGAAAAGTTTGCCTTAGTTTTTTCCTTCTACCTCTCCTTGTTATTCAAGTTGGCCTGGGGAATACACACTGGATCTTCCCCATCCTGAGAACAGCAAACATATCCCCATCATTTTGAGAAGCCAATAAAATATCTAACAGAGCTGATTCAGTTTAAGACAATTTCTCTAATTTCCTTTTAACTTGTTCACATTAATTTGATGTAAATATCTGGGGTATATATGTAGTGATTATAAAGACAACTTTCAAATCCTAAAAGAAATTAAGTAGTGAAGATGTCTTGAGTTTCACCTAAATTTGCTTATAGAATAACCCTTTATTGAACTTCAGACAATGTGTAGTAGTAAAAAGGTTGAACTGTTGAGTCACACAAATTGTAGTTCCTCTTCGGTTTTCATCGTTTACTAGTTAGGCAAGTTTATAATAGTTAGTTGGGTTCTCTTGGCTTCACTGACCGTCTTTAAAATGGGGGAAGGAATACCTACCTCACTGGATTTTTAGGTGTGTTAAAAGTAAGGTAGTCAGTGTTAAGACAGAACACCAAGGCTTTAGTAAATTATATGCTGTTTGTGTTTATTAATGTGTGTTCTTACATAAGATTCATTTTTACTATAAATATAATTTCTATATATTTAAATTATTACTGTGAAATCAGAGGCAATGTCTTGTGCAAATTGATAATCATTATATATGTATATATATACATATGTGTATGCACACACATTTGTGGTGAATACTTCTCCCAGTTCATCATCTAGTTTTATATATGATCAAAATTCCATAAATAAAACTACAGGAAAACACAAAGAGAAAAATATCTTTCTATTAAAAGTAGAGGGTTATTTTTCTTTATATATAAAGAACTCCTAGAAATCAACAGTGAAAAAACAGCACTTGTTAGAAAAATGGCCAAAGAACATGAGCAAATTGTAAAAAATGAACCTGAACTGGCTTTTTAATATATAAAAGGATGTTTTTATCTTTTTACAATAAAAGAAATACAAATCAAATCCTTAATAAAATACCATTTTATCTATCAAATTGGTAAAAATAAAACATTTGATAGCATACTGTGTTGTTGTTGGGGCACAGATGCTCTATTATAATGGAACTGGAAATTGTTACAAACTCCATCAAAATTGCAAATGCACATATCCTTTCGTTTCTACCAACTTACATATCTAAACCATTACATGTACTAAATGTTGCATAGGGATAGTCCTTATCTGATTGTTTTAGAAACAGTACTAGAGTGGGCACTGTGGCACCGCAGGTTAAGCTGCTGGGTGTGACGCCTGCATCCCAGATGGGAGTGCCCATTAGAGTCCTGGCTAATAAGCTTCCAATCCAGCTTCCTGCTAATGCAGACTCTGGGAGGCATTTGGTAATGGCTAAAGTACCTAGGACCCTGCTACATGCATTAGAGACCCGGATGGAGTTCTGTACTCCTGGCTGCTGGCTTCAGTCTAGTTCAGCCCTGAGTATTGCAGGTATTTGGGAGATGAACCAATAGATGGAAGATCTCGAGATCGATTTATCTCTCTCTCTATGGCTTTCAAATAGATTAAAATAAATTTTAAAACTTGATTCCTATTTTATTAAGTTTTATAAATTGAGTACAAAGAATAAAGTTATACCTTCTCAGGATTTTTCTATAATCACATGGAATATTTTAAAGATTTATTTATTTATTTTGAAAGTCAAAGTTACAGAGAGAGGAAAAGGGAGCGGGAGAAGGAGAAGGAGGGAGAGAGGGAGGGAGGAAAGAGAGAGAGAGAGAGAGAGAGAGAGAGATCTTTCATCTCCTGGTTCACTCCCCAGATGGCTGCAGTGGTTAGCACTGGGAGAGGCTGAAGCCAGGAGGTAAGAGTTTCATCTGGGTCTCCCAGTTGGGTGGTAGGAGCCCAAGCACTTGGACCATTTTCTGCTGCTTTTCCCAGGCCATTGGCAGAGAGCTGGATTGGAAGTGGAGCAGCTGAGACATGAACTGGCATCCATATGGGATGCCTGCATAAAAGGTGGTAGCTTTACCCACTATGCTACAACACCAGCTCCAGTCACATGGAGATAATGCTCTTCCTATGTGGTGAATTATAGTAGTCATTTCCTACAGTTTAGCCATATTTGCAGTTCTGACTTGACCTCGTTTTGTTCTGAATTATTCTTCTGCTGTGTTTTTAGATTCTCTTTGCTAATTTTTAAAAATATTTATTTGAGAGGCAGAGTTACAGACAGAGAGAGGGAGAGACAGAGAGAGAGGGAGAGACATAGAGGTCTTCCATCTGCTGGCTCACTCCCCAATGGCTGCAATGGCCAGAGCTAAAATGGCTGCAATAGCCAGAGCTGGGCTGATCCGAAGCCTGGAGCCAGGAGCTTCTTCAGGGTCTCCCACATGGGTGCAGGGGCCCAAGCACTTGGGCCATCCTCTAATGCTTTCCCAGGGCGTTAGCACAGAGCTGGATTGGAAGTGGAGCAGCCAGGACACAAACCAGTGCCTATATCGGAAGCCAGTGCTGCAGGTGGAGGCTTAACCTGCTAAGCCACAGTGCAGGCCTCTCCTTGCTAATATTTTATCATGTGCTTTCAATTCCTCAAGTGATCCAAATATCTAATTGTAATTTATTTTTGAAAGGTAGAGTTACAGAGAGGTAGAGAAGGAGAGATCTTTCGCAATGGCTGTAGGTGGGCTGATCTAAAGCCAGGAACCAGGAGCTTCTTCCAGGTTTCCCACTTGGGTGCAGGGGCCCATGTGCTAGGGCCATATTCTACTGCTTTCCCAGGCCATAGCAGAGAACTGGATTGGAAGCAGAGCAGCCAGTACTCGAACCAGCACCCATATGGGATCCCCGCACCACAGGCGACAGCTTTACCTGCTAAGCCACAGTGCCGGCCCCAGCATTAAAGTTGAAATCGCTAGGTTTTCTTTGCCTGTCATTTTTACACCTTTGGAACAGATGTGCGTTTCTATAATCTTGTCAGCAGTCATCCTGAAAAACCTTTCTCAGACATATCTACCAGCACATTCCCTCTTAACTGTTCTTTCTAACACTCTTTACCCTGACATGTTTCATATCTGACTTACAAACCCTTGTGTACCCTGGCCTTTTTACTTTTTTTTTCCTCATTGATTTCTCTCTATACCCTTAGAATGCTTTACAGATTCTGATACTTGTGCAAGCAAGGGGAAGTCATCCAGAGCTTCAAGTATCACTAACACAGGAAAAAAAAATTAATTTGCAGAATATAACTATGCTAAGGTTTGTTAGTTACATGTTTACAGCTAAAAGCGTGCATGAAAAATTCTGCAGTATTAAATGTCATTTGTTTAAACTGTATGCTGCAGTCATTTGCTGTTTTCAATCCTCTGACATATAATAGGCACTTATTTTATTTTTTGAATATCTGAGTATTTGTTTCTATTATTATAATTTTCTCAATTATTTTCTAATCCTTCACCCCTATTATTTCTTTTATAAACAGTGTTTTCTTTTGTGTAGCATTGATGACATTTATTGAAATGTAGAAATGGTTTGGCTCTTTCAGATGCATTTGTGTTTATATGTAATGTATCCAATTTCTTCTTTATTGAAATTTTCTTGAATCAAGGGTTTGTTTTATATAACTCTACCTCCTTCATGTTAAACACATTACTTAAAAGTCTACTTCTTTAAATATATGTTAATTTGA